GGGGGACAGCGATATGCGTTGCACTACGCGTCACTCTGGCAACGGGACTCTAAACAGCCCCGTTGCCAGAGCGATGCGTAGCGTCACATCCTGGCGATGGCGGTGCAACACGTATCGCTGTCCCCCGCGGCAGGGATCCTGTGAAGACGCACGGATCCCCCGCCGCGGCTTGGCAGCCCTACCCATGAGCATGCTGTAGCTTGGGTCAGGCCCAGCCATAAATGGCTGCTGCCAGTCCAAGGCCTGAAAAAAATAGGGAAGGGCTAGGAAAAGCCACCTAATTGGTTCGCCTCACTTCTGGCCTCCCATGAGACTTTCTCTTCTCATGAGAGGTCAGGAGCAACTGGTCATCTGAGGCTCACTACACCAGCTCTCATAAGGGGATCAGTGAGAAAGGCAGTATTGACTCTCTCCCACACGCTCAGGAGAGAAGCCAAGGAGAGGAGGAGGAATAAGATGGCAAGAACCCCTTCCCACCTTCATATCTGGGGTCTCAAGCTAGGGGCAACCAAAGGATATTTGCCCAAAGGATGGGGTCCTTCAGTCCAGCCCCGCAATCATAATGGCTTTACTAAAACCTGTGTGGTTGTACTTGGTCCTGCATCCTGTCATTCTGTTCATTTCTGAACCAACATAGCTGCTTCTCCTTCAGTGGGGCGAAGTCATCCAAACTGGTTAGGTCACGCCTCCTCTCGCTCCAGGCAGGGCTATGTAAATTTGTATAGGCTGTATTGGCTCAGAGTGAGGCTGACCCTCCAGTTTCAATAGCCCTGCCACTCCAGCAGGACGCTTGAGCCTAGCTCTGCTTTCTTGGAGACTCTTGCCTTCTATGGAAGATAGAAAAGCCTTGAAGAAAGGCCCCATCGTCGGTCTTAAAAGAAGAAAAAAGAGACCTTTAAGACAAGCCTCTCCTGCCTGAGGTTCCAGGCACCCGAGACTGGCCAATGGCAGGAACATCTACAATGCCACAAGCTGCTGTCAGTGAGAGACCATTGTGGCAGGCCTCTCCTGCCTGAGGATTCAGGCATCGGAGTCTGGCACGGGCCTCTGTCAGTGCCGCCAGACCCGAGGCTTCGGGTTGTTTCTACGGCCGGCCCACAACTGCGCTGGAAAAATCCAGCAGAGCTCTACTGGGTCTGAACCCAGAGTCGGTCTCTTGGAGTCTCTTACCCTGTAAGTATGGAAGATGGAAGGGCCTTAAGGCAGGGCCCCATTGCCGGTCTTAGAAAGAAGGGGAGACCATTGTGGCAGGCCTCTCCCGCCTGAGGCTTCAGACATTGGAGACTGGCATGGGCCTCTGCTGGTGCAGCTAGACCTGAGGCTTCAGGTCGTTTCTGCAGCCAACCCCTGGCTGCACTGGGAAAACCCCGCAGAGCTCTACTGGGTCCAGCAACCATGAGGAGATTGCAGCGTCTGGCCTGCCCCATACAGACTCGGAGGCTTCCAGGCCTACAGGGAGTGAGAGGGTTGGAGCTGAAGGTCAGATTCCCCACCCCGAGACATAGGGACAGTGGGATGAGGACCCCCAAGGCGAACAAGGGGCTGGAGGTAAAATCTTCTGTGCCTACATTCAAATGAAGCCAATCTGGATTCAGTCATTAATTGCTTCCAAATCCATGTTCATTTCACAGGGTTTCGTTTTGGACAAACCTATTATGTTACCGGAATCTAAGGACCAAGACACTTTTTGGAGATCCTTGACTGGAACACAACTGAATAGCAGACAACAGCCATGGGCAGTCCCAATATGAATTTCACCAGTTCATGGGGGGGATCGTCTCTTTTGACTGTGCCATTTTTCTGATTGAAAATACTTCTTTCCTACAAGAAACAGAATCAAAGACAAACCTAAAATAATGGAGTACACATGACAGCTGGTATGATCATTAATACTTAGCAGATATAATTGCTTTTAAAACTACTCAATCAAAGAGGTGTACAGGCAAAAATATCTTTCCCCCCCCCAAAAAAAAATCATTACATAGATCTCATTCCATTGGAACACTGGCTGAATCAAGAGACTTCATCTGTGTCAGGAAACAGAAGACGAATGTGTTGATCCAAAGCAGTGAAGGCTTGGTCAGAACCAAGGCATAGCAAAGCCTGAACTGAATGTTTCCTGGTCAGCCTTGATAAAGAAGGTATGAAATGGGACAGTTACTGCTGACATAACTGCAATGGTAACATAACATACGCAGCGGCTTCCTCTTCCACATAGCGCATCTCAGGTTTGCCTGTCGAATTCCATGGCTTGCTGTGGAACCTCCTCCAGCAATGCCTGACACCAACCAGTGCTGTTCTGTGCACATTTGGTAGATTACTTGTTTCACAACTCTGGCTTCCATTTCATTGGTTGTTTTATTCCAAATGGGTTCAAGAAACTTCTCCAGTGTAATGTTCAAGCAGTCCCCCAAAATTTATGCTGCAAAACAGGTTGGCTGTACTCCAGATAGACTCGGTTTGAATAATTATTGTGATTCTTGTACCACCACTGTTCTTCATCAGTGTTGTTCAAGTGAAAACTCATATTTGATACTAGCCTGATACCCGTGCTTCACTACGATATTTAAGTTTCGTAAATCCAGTTATAATACTGATCATGTGAAGTTTGTAAGGTAACATTTGTTGTAGGAAGACTGTAGTGTAAAGGATGAAGTGAGACATACGTACTGGGTTTCTTTGTTTTCTCCTCTACTGAAGGACCTCTCTGTAGCCCACAGTGGTGGTTCTGCCCTCAGGTGCTAGGATCACCAGGCTGCTTAGTGAGCTCACTCTGGAGCAGGCTCCTGGAAAGGTCCTTTACTTATTTCCCCATGAACATTCATAAAATCAACTGCCATGCCAGGCACATGGAAAATAATTGGGGGAACACATTTTGCCCCTTTTTTACCCCTTTAGGGGTCATGTTTCTCAGAAATCTCTTTGTAGTGGGGGTTGACATCATGGTAGGAATGCACTCCCCTTATTTTGGGTTTCTTGGTGCAGAGGTTTGGCCTGGGCATTGGATTGGGGGGGCAGGGTTTTGTTTTTGGGGTTTTTTTTTTACAAAAAGGAGGTGGGGGGAATGTGTTGGAAGCCATACAGGAGGCTGGGCCAGCAGCACTGCTGCACCTCACAAGTGATTGTTGGCCATCCTGATTTCCTCAACTGTCATTATCTCTCTGCAGTCTGGGTTTTTTTTACCTCAGAACACCCCCGTTTTTACCCCTTTAGTGGTCATGTTTCTCAGAAATCTCTTTGTAGTGGGGGTTGACATCATGGTAGGAATGCACTCCCCTTATTTTGGGTTTCTTGGTGCAGAGGTTTGGCCTGGGCATTGGATTGGGGGGGCAGGGTTTTGTTTTTGGGGTTTTTTTTTTACAAAAAGGAGGTGGGGGGAATGTGTTGGAAGCCATACAGGAGGCTGGGCCAGCAGCACTGCTGCACCTCACAAGTGATTGTTGGCCATCCTGATTTCCTCAACTGTCATTATCTCTCTGCAGTCTGGGTTTTTTTTACCTCAGAACACTGAGCTCTGCAGCTGACCAATCAGAGAGTGGGGGGGGGG